CTTGTGTGTAGTCACGATTTGATATTCTGAAAATTCATTCGAGAAAGATGAACTTAATGCGTGGTATCGACCTGAAGAAGATTGCTGAGAAGATGAACGGTGCTTCAGGTGCTGAGCTTAAGGTGAGTTTAAGTAAAGCTTGATGATGTAATTTGAATCGGTTAAAAGAGACGGCTAAGATTAAATAATGTAATTGGTTGGTACGTGTTACAGGCGGTGTGTACTGAAGCTGGGATGTTTGCTTTGAGGGAAAGGAGAGTCCATGTGACACAAGAAGATTTCGAGATGGCAGTTGCTAAGGTTATGAAGAAGGAAACCGAGAAAAACATGTCGTTACGCAAGCTATGGAAGTAATTCCTATGGATCCATCCAATTAGAGACTTTGTATCATTTCTTTAAGATTGTTTCTAAAAACGGCACCTTTACTTTATATTTGCATCCCGACATATAGAGATCCTTTTTAAAAAACTAGTTGTTGGTTGATAATGATTCTAGTCTCTGGGAAATCTCATATTTGAATTGGTAACAATCTCTATTTTTTTGGAACCTTGATCTTTATCTAGTTTGAGACTGAAAACGTAAACATTATTAGAAGTAGTATTTCATCAAACACTTTGTAGGTATAACATAAACATTGTCAAGTATAGGCTATTTCACATCTGATGTTGCACAAGAAATCGGATCAGAATTCATGTAGAGAGGATCTTGTGACTTTTCCTGCTGCTTGGGCCACGCCCCAGGTTATGCGACTCACTGTTTGATCCCCTGTTTGTTTTCCCACATCTTTTCCAGAGTTCTACCCACACGCATACCTGCACAACTCACTCGAGTCTGATCTTCCATATTCAGTTTTCCCACGACTTTCCTTGCGACTTAGGTCACGGGAAAGGTTGCTCGTGTTTTTTGTGGCCGGCAACAGCCGGGGTGGCTTGCCTATTCCTCTTTCCCATACTTTTTCCCTTGCTTTTCCTTCACCTTGTCCTTTTCTATTGAAATATATAGAAACCTTTGGCCTCTTCCATGGATCTAAGGATTATTGTACAAGCAGTTCTAATCTCCTTGGTGGTAATATAATATTTGCTCTCACTCTTTGGTGAATGTACACTATTACATTGATACTGAATCCATGCTAAATCCTTGTGTCATTTGTTTGTGATGTTGTTTTATGCGTACATCTTAGCATATATGGTTGTTATTTACTTTTTGGGTGTTTACTCTTTAAAGCATGATGTGCAACTTCTAAATTGTTGTTATCCGCGTTAATTGTTTGGGTTTGTTATATGTTTGGATTTCTACAAAATTTAACACCTTAGAAAAATCACTTGGTAGTAAAGTTTGATTGCATATTATTCCCAGGGCCGGCCCTTGCTATAGGCCCAAGGGGCGATGGCCTAAGGCAACAAACAGTCGAAGGGCATCAATTCTTTATGTGTGTGTGTGTGTGTGTTCATTTTGGGCCTAAAAAGTAAAAATAATACCTCAATCGGGATCTATTGGTCTCGCTCTCGGCATGCAGCAGCAACACATATCTCTCTCGGTCTCGCTTTGTTTTCCTCTCGATCTCTCCCCGCTCTCGCTCTCGGATTTTCGATATGTCATACCCTCTCCCCTCTGCTTTGTTGCCCTCTCGTCGCTCTCGATCTCTCTCCGCTCTCGCATCTCGCTCATTCGCTCAACATTGGTAATTCACTAATTCTATAAAACTATTTGTTTTATGTAAATTATGTATTATGTTTATCTTTTTAGTTTAGACTTTAGATTAGGATTATTGAATTATTTTGTTTAATTGTTTAGTTTAGGTTAGGATTATTTAACTTATTTTGTTTGGTCTAGGTTTACCCAAATGGCCAAAGTTTTGTTTGATTTGATCACTTTATGTTTGAATGTTTCCTGTTTATACTTTTGTTTAGCTTAGATTAGGATTAGATAATTTAGATTGTTATTTGAAGATTTGATCTTATGTTTGGATTAGGGATTTAGAATTATTTTGTTTAATTGTTTAGTTTAGGTTAGGGTCATTTAACTTATTTTGTTTAGTTTAGGTTTACCCAAATTCTTATTTGATCACTTTATGTTTCTTGTTTGACCATTTTATGTTTCCTATTTTGTTTATATTGTTACCATTGTTATTATTGCATAAATAAAGTTATTTCAACTTTGAATCTGAAGTTTCAACCCTGTTTGACAATTTCACGACTTGAACCACGAATGACCAAAACCAGGTGTTATCTTTCTATTCTTTATATCGTATCATTTGTTTAACAATTTAAGATATGTTTTCTCGATCACAACCATCGGGTGCTCAAAATAGGAAAAGAAAGAAAAGACAAGAAGAAATTGTTCAATCTTTACAAGAATCTGTAAATAAGTTTATTGTTAGACAACAAATGTTTCTGAAAATGCTAGTGATAAAAATGAAAATACTTATGATGCAAATGCTAGTGATAATAATAAAAATGCTTGTGATGAAAATGCTAGTGATAAAAATGAAAATGCTTGTGATGAAAATGTTTGTGCTTGTAATGATGAAAACATTGATAATGCTTCTAGTGATGTTCGTTTGAATATATTTGATCCAAGAATTTGGGATATGCTAAATTCTAAAATGAAAGATTTGTTTGCTGAAAAATGACCTATTAGAGAAAATAACATCAACTTTCCTAGAGATAGTATAGGTAGACACTTCTTTGGTGAATTTTATGTTCGTAAGCAACGTAGTGCTGATTGTCATGATAGAAAGTGGTTAGCTTATTCAAAAGAGCTAGATAAAGTCTTTTGTTTTTGTTGCAAATTTTTCAAAGAAGGCCGGTCAAAAAGCCAATTAGCAAGTGTTGGATTAAGTGACTGGAAACATCTTGGTCAACGACTAAGCGCTCATGAAAATAATCTTGAGCATATGACTAGCTTGGGAATTTGGTTGGAATTGCAATTGAGATTGAGTAATAATGAAACACTTGATAAAGAGTTACAAGATTTAATAAAAAAAAGATACTGATCATTGGAAAAAAGTTTTGGTTAGAATAAATGATGTTGTTAAATGTCTAGCAAAGAATAATATAGCTTTTCGTGGGAGAAATGAAAAACCTTATGAAGAATCTAATGGTAACTTCTTAGGCTTAATTGAAATGATTGCTGAATTTGATCCTGTTATGAAACAACATTTTCAGCATAACAAATAAAAAAACTCGTTATCATTATTTTAGCCACAAAATTCAAAATGAATCGATTGACATGTTGGCATCTGATGTTAAGAGTGCAATCATTAAAAAGATCAAAGAGGCAAAATATTTTTCAGTTATTCTTGATTGTATTCTGGATGCAAGTTATCAAGAACAAATGAGTTTGGTTATAAGATGTGTTGATGTGTTCAGTTCTCCTATACAAGTAAAAGAGTTCTTTTTAGAATTTTTGGTGGTAGAAGATATATCTGGTGTAGGACTTCTTAATGTATTACAAGATGTTTTGAAAATTACTTGATTTGGATATCAATTATGTGTGGGAACAAAGATATGACAATGGCTCTAATATGAAAGGGAAACATCAAGGTGTGCAAAAGAGATTACTTGATATAAATCCTAGAGCCTTTTATATATCATGCGGTTGTCAATTGTCATAGTCTTAATTTAGTTTTATGTGATATGACAAATTCTTGTCACAAAGCAAAAACCTATTTTTGGTACTTGTCAAGCCATATATATGTATTTTCTAATGCTACAAAGAGATAGACTGTTTTATTATAATATATTGATTATTTGACTTTGGAATCTTTATCTCCCACTCTATGAGAAAGTCATATTGAAAGTGTTAAAGCTATCAAAACTCAAGTTGGCCAAATTAGAGATGTTTTAATACAATTGGCTCGGGTAAATGAGGATGGAAGAGTGTGTAGGGAAGCCGAGTTTTTGGTTAATGGTGAGCTTTCAAGTTTTAAGTTTATTGTAAATTTGGTTATTTGACATGAAAATATAATTAATTTAGTTAGCAAGAAGTTACAGTCTAAAGATATGTTTCTTGATATCGCAATACAAAATCTAAAGGGATTAGATGAAAATTTTGAAAAATATAAGGAAAATGGGTTTACATGTGCTATTAGTGAAACTAAAGAGATTGCAAATAATATTGGAGTTGAACCTGAGTTTGTTATAAAACATTTTTTCTCCAAGAAAAAACAATTTGATGAAATTCCAAATACAGAGAAAGAACAAAATAACAATCTGCTCAAAAGAAATTTAGAACTGATTATTTTCTTGTTTTTAGTTGATATGACTCTTTTGCAATTACGAACTAGATTTGAACAAATGCTACCAGAAGAGACATCTAAGAGTGGAAATCCTTGGACATCCATACAAATTATAGAGTTTGCAAAGAAGATGGACATGTTTCCACATGTCTTGCTTGCTTACAGGGTTCTATTGACCGTACCAATCACCATAACATCTAAGGAAGGAAACTTTTCAAAATTAAAGTTGTTGAAGTCATATCTACGGTCTATCATGAGTCAGAAAGATTAAAGGAGTTAGCAATCTTGAGTACTGAGAGTAAGTTTTTAACTAATATTAGTTATGACAAAGTGATAGATATTTTTGCTTCAAAAAAAAAAAAACAAAAGAAGACGTCGTTTTAGGTGAATGTTGATGTATTTCATACTTTATTATACAGGGTTTTGGTTTATGTCTGCCCTATTTAAAACAAATTGACATAAAGATAAGTCGCCTAGATTGACTAGGTTCCAAATCCCTTTATAAATACTTTATTTTGGTTTTTATATACACATACAAGGAACAATTTTTTGACTTTTCGCCATAGACATCGAAAATCTCCGTACCAGATTATTCCCTTACATCATCAATAATCCCTTCCACAGACATGCATCCTTCAAATTGATTCCCAATATCAATTCCTGTTAAATATAATAAATTGAAATTCTAATCTATTCCTGTTATTGTTTGACAAGTCTTTAGCTTACATTGATTTGTCCACGTCAATTAGGCGTTGACTTCTATTTACAATTCAATAATTCTCCTTCCTCCCTCTAATTTTCTAGATCCAAACATATGCTTAATCCATGGCTCATCTGCACTCCTTTCTCCCCTTCCTCCTCCTCCTCTCAAACTTTTCTCATCCCTCCCATGGCGACGTAGGCACTTCCTCTCAATACAGTCCCCCTTTCTTACGTAAGTTCCTCCATCTCTATCTATATGAACGCTAAATTTGGTCTCTGATTTGATTGGTTACTGAAACAGCGACGGCGTGTTATGGCTTCGATCCTGGACAGTTTCCGTCCAGCAATCTGTTTGCGGCGGCCGGAAACGGGATATGGGACAATGGAGCTGCTTGTGGGCGGCAGTATTTGGTGAGATGTATAAGCGCGGCTGAGCAAGGGACTTGTTCGGGTGAGTTGATTCAAGTGAGGATCGTGGATTTTGCGCTCACGGCGGTTTCTCAGCCGTCAATCGACGGAACCACCATGGTTTTGTCAGATACCGCCTTCGGAACCATCGCCAATTCCAGCGCTACCTCTATTAACATCGAGTTCCAACAGTAATACCTCCCATCTCTTCTTCTCTTTTCTCCAATTTTTCTTATAATATTTTAGTGATTATTTTAGTATTTTTGCTGATTTTAAATGAATTATTTATTTACGCATTTTGTTTTCTTTTTTACAGATTTATAATAAAAAATAAATATATTTATAATAATCATCGAAAAATAATATTTGCAGGATATGAAAAGATAAAGTTTGAACGATGGAGAAGACTCGTGCTCAAAAGTTGTTGTTGTTTTTAAAAAAAATTGTGATAATTGTATTTATTTATTATTATTTAATGATTAATGTTAAAATAAAAATAAAAAATGAAAATGAAAATAAAAAGGTAAGTTTGCATGTGAGCTTGATTTTGTGAGGGTTTGTCAATTAATTGAATGATTGTTTAATAATGTATTTTTTATTATAATAAATTAATATTCCTACCTTTTGAAAAGTCGGGTCCACTGGTCAAACAAGGTCTTCTTTCAAAAAACAAAAGGTGGAATTCTTATTGGATTAATTTAACGATGTAAATTGCAATTGGTGCTTTGGTTTTGTTTTGTTTTGGTTTGGTTTTACTTTTTGAAAAACTAAAACATAAGATTTGTTTGTTTATCTTTTAATAGTTTTATTAAGAGTTAAATCTTGTTTGATAAAAAAAGTTTGTCTATTAATGATTTTAAAACCTTCTGAACGATTTTGTATCATAGTCTTCCTTAACCATTCAGCGCCCTAATTTCATCATAAACAATTATATTATATTTCATTTTGCACTATATCATGAGACTTTCTTAATCATTATACACCAAATCATTCAGCAACTGTCAAACAACTCTTATAAAATGAACGTTAAAGACAAGGATACATAAGTATGAATATTTAATTCATTATTAATTTATATGCACTATATCCAGTCCTCTTACACGTTATACTTCTCGTATTGAGAATATTGCTTAATAAAGAAAATACGAAAATATTTTTAGTATATTTTGGATCCTTTTTAATTGATGTGAAAACTTAGGTTACATTTGTCATGATGTGATCATGTATGAATATTTGGTATATCCATCATTATATATCTTGTAATTTTGACTGTTCTTGGTCATATGACTATTTCACGATCTTTCTTATGCTTTCTGTAATTTAGGAGATATTTTTGGCTAAATAATGGTATATTAACTTGGTCATTCTTTAATAAAGCAAATACACAGTGAAGGGAAATACGAAACTAATTTGGACATACTAATTGCCTCGATCGATGTCTACTCCGAACAATATAACAAAAATATGACCTACCCTTACATAACACCTCCGATCAAAGCTTGTCAACTAGCAATGAACCTTGGTAGGAACATGAGTCTGCCAAAAAAGGTTGCGAATTCAAGAATCTTGATAGATGTTGAATATGATATTGACGACGTCGACTTGAACGACATGGCTTTTTCCGATCAGACTTGAGGTTATAATTGTGTACATAATTCATCAAACTGAATAACTTTTCGAATGACTAATAGGGTACTTTAAGATTTTATAGGAATTTGAACAACACTTTTTTCATGAACAGACCACATGTGATAAAAGGTCATGAGAGTTGAAAACACACTCTCGAGCTCCAACTAAACACTTGGATAATGTAAATTTGATACTGATTTTATAGAAGTAAAAATGTGATTGGGTGGAAAATTTTGATTGCATTATTACTGGTAGGTGGGCATATATATACAATTTGAAAGAATCGTAGACTACAAGTGTAAATTGTAATCTACAAACTACATTGTGTTACAATATATTTACAATCATGTGATTACAAGAGAATATGTAATTAGTGCAAGATGGATGATTGAATGGTGAGACCAATCTTGGGCATTAGTTCTCTGAACCGTGTTCTTATAAATGGCTTAGTAAGAGCATCAGCTAGTTGATCCTTGTCGGAAATGTATGAAACATGCAACTTTTGACTTTGGATATTCTCACAAATAAAATGATAGTCAAGAGCTAGGTGCTTCATTTTTAGTGGAACTTAGGATTGGCGGCGACATATGTAGCTACTATATTATCACAATATATTACCGGTGTTTGTGATGGGTAGATTTCCTAGCTCATAAAGTAAGTTTTGGACCAATAATACATCACCCATAGTTGCAGCAATAGGCAGTATTCGACTTCTGTCGACGAACGAGCAAAAATGTGTTGCTTACATAAACTCCAAGAAATATGATTTCGACCCAAGTAAACAATGTATTCGGTCGTTGAAATGTAGTCATCTTTATCATTGACCTATGAAGCATTTGTGAAGGCATTAAGTGTAGTGGGTGAATCACGACGTAATAGTAGATCTTGTGTAGAAGTGCCCACTAGGTAGCGTAAAAGTCATTTGAAAGCTGCCTAATGTTCTTCAATAGGCTTGTACATGTATTGAGATAACCTGTTCACGACAAAAGAAACATCTAGTCTAGTTAGAGATTTATTTATTATAGACTCCCACAATTGCCATGTATTCAATTGGGTTGGCCAAATGGGTTCCACTATACAGGTTTACGGTAGAATGAGAAGCCATGGGCATAGGAACAGGTCTGATGACTGTCATGTGAGTATGTGCGAGGAGGTCTTGTATGTATTTATGTTGGCTAAATAAAATGTTATAAGAGTGAGGTAAGACTTCCACACCAATGATATAAGAAAGTATGCCAAGATCCTTATGTGAGGAAACGATTGGAGAGTTGAGAAATAAGGGAGTTTAGAAAAGTAGGATTTGATCTAGTGATGATGATATCATCAACATAAACAAGAAGAAATATGTGATCATTTTTGTGGCATAAAGTAAAGAGTGAGGCTTCATAAATGGAATTTTTGAAACCACAACCGAGTAGCTAGGATTTGAGTTCATTGTACCAAGCTTGTGGAGCTTGTTTAGACCATAGAGATCTTGACGAAGTTTGCATTACATGACTAGGATGAGTTTGACTGATGAAACCAGGTGGCTGAACCATAAAGACATCTTCCATTGGAGAGCCTTGCAGGAAGCCATTGTTAATGTCAACTTGACGAAGAGATGAACCATGCGTGATAGCTAGAGAGAACCATTCAGATTGTGGTTGGCTTAACCATGGGACTAAAGGTTTCGGTGAAGTCAAGACCGGGTCTTTGGTGGAATCCTTTAGCAACTAGAACGACTTTATAACACTCGATAGAGCCATCAGGATTATATTTATTACGAAATACCTATTTACACCCAATAAGGTTTTGAGATGAAGAAGATGGAACAACATCCCATGTGTGATTTTTAAGTAAAGCATTGCATTCCTCTTGCATAGCGTCACATTATACATGTTTTTTCAATGATTGTGTTATAGTGGTAGGCTCGATGAAATTAACATGAAGAGAGATATATATCTTGTTAGAGGTAGGATCAAGGTAATAATAAGCATTTTGAGTGGAAAAATATCCAAGAAAAACACAAGGAAAGGAGCGACGATCAAATTTATTTGTGGTATAGAGGCGGAGCCAAAGGTAGCAAAGACATATAAAACTATGCAATTTAAAATAGTTGGGTGTGCGAATGATGTGTCTAGATATTGTATCTAGACAACACTGAGTGATAACACATGCAAATATATACGTGTCAACACTATCACCCTTCAAGTAATAAAATTTAAGAATCAAGAATCATATTCCATATGGATAGGTATCTTTGGTGGCAAGATCTCAAGTTGAAAGATTAACTTCAGATGGTGAATTGGAAGATTTTGTTTCGTTTTGAGCTAAAACTATAATAAAAAAGCAGCATGGGTGTTAGACTTGGGGTGAAACATAAACACAAATTCTAGTGGACTAATACCTCTCAGTATGTAGTTCACAGTAATATGTTCCACCATCATTTTGAGAGTATTTCTCTCGAACTTCAGTATTTGCACTGATATTTAGATTCAACCACATATCTCTATATAGTATCAGGCTAGTGGTAGTGCATAATAAAGTCCTCAAAATATATGGACAACAAATCTCTTTGTATAAAATCACTCTCTCGAGCCGATTCCATATCATTCAAGTTGATGTGTTTCAAGTGGCTCATATTTGAGTCCACTACACTTTAACAAGTGACTAACCCGTCGAGAATCAATCAATTTAAATCAATAACAAATCTCTTTGTCAACAACTCTCTTAAGTCTACTTCTCACATCATTCGAATTGACGTGTATTCAAGTGGCTCATCTCTGAGTCCATGGTACTTTAACACTTTTCAAAGTGATCAACTTGTCAAGAAGTGTCATTGGTTTTTATAAAACTTGAAATGAAATAATGGAATATGGTTATTGAGAAGCAATGTCCACTTTCCTTTGGTTTAAAATTTCACCATCTGTCTCACACCCAAGCTAAAAGATTTAACTACTCATAACAAAAATAAATTACAAGTAAATGAAAAAAACAAAAAGTAAATGCATAAAATTAAAATGACGGAAATTAAATAACAGGAAGTAAATGAGAGAATGTAAAGAACATAAAATGCCAAAAATAATATTTAAATTAAAACAACATGGAAAATAAAACTACATCATGGAACTATCTAATCTAATATTTCTCCTCTCCAACTTCCTCCCTCAGAAACTTGCTTTAAAACTTACTTACCAAACACCTCTATTTATACTACCACTAAAGGGGAGCAAAATGTAAAATAAAGAAACTTGAAGCCAAGGTATATTTAAAGTCAACAAAAGTACATTAAAAGCTTAATTAATTTATTTTAATTTTTTTTTGATTAACCTGGATATCCAACCTGCTATGCGAGCCAACTAATCACAGGGCAACCACCTGTTTTGCAGATAACCCGGAGTCACCACATTTGAACCTCCGTGGCCACAAGGGGATTTTTATTTCTTCTTGGATTTGAACCTGGGGCCTCCTGATACTTTTAACCTTCGGAGTCAAGCTTAAACCAATCAGACACCACCCTTGTGGTTTGTCCTACTTAAGTCTAGAAGTACAACAACTAATTTGTCCTTAAAAAGTCTTTAGAACTTGATTTCCAAGCCATAAAAAGTTTGATTCCAAAACATGTGGCTGAATGTACCAAGCTCTCTAAAAAGCTATCCAAACATGCATATCAATGCTCTGGAAGTGTTGGCAACACAAACAACCTATCCATAAGCTTGAATTAGCCTTCAATTGGTATAAAACAGGTAAATCACAACTTTAACTGCATAAAACAAGAAAGAGGAAAATAAGATAATAAGATATAATTTCGGATATAAACGGAAAATAAGATAGCTAAAAAGGGGGAAAAATAGGAGTGTTATAACATTGGTGCACAAAATGCGTATAAGCGGAAATGAAGTTTATGATAAAGAGATTGAAGATTAAGTTTAGGAGTTGGCATATGATTTATGAGGTAACAAGCATTAGCAAAAGCACAGATCAATATGTAAGTGGCATAGAAGTGTGAGTGAGAAGAGAAAAAATGGTTTCAACAATGTGACGATGATGCCACTCTGAGCAGTCATTGTGTTCAGACGTGTGAGGCGGGGAAGTTAGGTTAGTGATGCAATGAGATTCAGGAGTAGGATCTAAGCCAATATATTTACCACCATTATCACCAAAGATAATAACGATGGATCATTTGAAGAAATTTTTAACTTTGAATTTGAATTTAATACAAATGGCAATGAAATTATTTTTGTGTTTGAGTGGACAAAATAAAACCACACATATATGGAATAATGATCAACAAATATTATGCAGTATTTGTAGTTCATATATATATATATATATATATATACATATATATAGAGAGAGAGAGAGAGAGAGAAAGATGAATGATCAAATGTAAACCACTCAATTTGTATAAACCGTGCTAACCACCCTCATCCGTCGATTTCATTGTTTAATCTTATGAAATTTTTTCATGAAATTATTTAATCTTGTGAAATTGTTTCATATAATACTTTTTTGATGAAGTTGTTTCATATATGATTATGAAATTGTTTCATATAATACTTAATGAAATTTTAATGAAACTGTTTCATGTATTTCTCTAAAATTAAAATAACGAAGATGATAATATCCATGATTAACACCCTCCACAATAAAAATGATTAATCAACCTCTCATAATTACAAAAACAATGAACAAAATGAAAAATTATAATTGGTTGAATGAAATTTGTACGGTTTGTATAAATAACGTGGTTTGCAAATTTTTCAAATTTCAATATTTGAGTTCGAGTTTGATGCTCATTTACGAGCTCAAACTCGAGATCAATTAATATGTTTGTTTGCTCAAGTTCAATGAATTTGTTATTTTAATTGTAAATATATAGATATGTGGTAGCAAAAATACACACACGTAAATATGGCACAATAGCAGTACAAATGTACACCAATTACTATGATCGCTTTCAAGTAATAAAGTGGTAAATATACCGAGATGTACCCACGGGAATTGGACTTCAAAGTTTCGAGTAATAAGCTGAGAATATGACGATTTCAATTAGACAAGAAGAAAACCATATTTGAGCTAGTGTTATGCTTTTAACAATGAAATCTAAACAAGTAATTAAATTGTTGACCTGCCACTTTGCGGATATAGTGACATTTGGTGATTTTAGGAGGGAAATGACTAAGAGGAGAAACCATAAGATGAAAATTATTTAATTAATTTCTCTTATGTTTTATTGTCTTAGTACCTTCTGACCAATTCTAACACATTCTCTTAAAAATGCAATTGAATGTTTTGTTCACTATTTTACACAATAAATTCTCTATATTGTTATTTTAAATAGAGAAATGATTGAATTATTATTATTTTATATAATTTTTTTTAAAAGCATGTTAAGATAATAAAATTGTACATATTAGATGATATTAGAAGGGTACTCGTACAATGCATCGAAATACATTTTGATTTCAATATTTCGTTTTATTTCTTTTTTATGTCGATATAATACGGTTTTTTGTGGTTTTGAGAAAGTGATAATATTTTTATTTTTGAATAAAATATAAATTTGAAAATATTATAAAATTTTGAAAAAAAAAAATACCAATATCAGTATCAAATTAACCTTTTTAGAAGTTCTTATATTTTGGTGTAATTTTCTTAATTTAATTTTTTAATTATAATTTAATTTAGGTTTAGTAACAGAGAATTTAATTTAGGTTTAAATAATATAATTTTTTATAAAGATAATAACTAAAATATTTTGTTAGAACTCAATGATTATCCTAATTATATTTTAGATTTTTTATATTTAAAATGATATGTTTATTCAATATTTGATCATGTTTATCTGCAGTTAGTTACACATATTCAAATATGAAGCTTTAATAAGTTGTATTTATGCACAATTATTTGTAATCATAAATTTTAAGTAGTATGTATCAATAAACAATACTTCGTGCATAAAAAATGGTTTCTAAGAATTTTTCTCAAATGCTTTATAATATAATATAGATAATTAATACTAAAATCTTTAAAACAAAAAGTCCATAAAAATTGATTGTAAGTTCTTTGAGAAAACTTATAGAGAATAATATTGATCAAGGTTCAAAATGACGTGTGGTGTGACGTGACAACAAAATCAATTCTCAAGCTTTACAGGACAGGATATTTTTCAAGACGTGATATAAAACGGTATATTTGTATGTCATAATAGAATTATATGTATATTATTTGTTTTTTATATATATCATTTAACCAAATAATGATAAAAAAAATACATTCATATTAGAAGAAGAAAAATCACATAGACTATTATAATAAAAATAATCTTTTATTAAATATTCAAAATAAAACATAAAAATATAATTTTATAACTTCATTTTAATCATGAGTTCATGAATTTGTGAAACTGTGAGTGATGTGATTAGATAAATCTATTAAAAATGTAAAATCTAATTTAAAAGTATAAAAACACAAAATATAAAAAAAATAAAACTAAAAAAATAACTTTTTTTAAGAAAAAAATCATGACTTATAAAAAAAAACATGCCTCAAAATGCCATAGCGTGATCCTCGTCTTACAAACAAGCTATTAGCTTTTTTGTATCGACAAGGACGCGCCTTGCTCCATATTATATAAGGAATTGTTTACTTGTGGCTTAATTAGGCTTATTGGCCTATCTGGCTTATTCGCACAACTCATTTGAGTTGTTTACTTACGGCTTAATCGCACAGATAAAAATTATGTGTTGTCCCAATTCAGCCACAAAAATGACACCCCTACCCCTTATTTAAAACACCGCCTCCTTTTCATATGAGACACCCCATCTTCAGCCTTTTTATGATTTTTTGTTTTGATGTTTAAATAATTAATATTGGGGGTAAATCGGTCATTTATGTTATTCATACTGTTGATTCAGATAAAAAATAAACAACACCACTCATTTATCCAGACAGATAAATTTATCAAAACAAATACATTTACTCATACATAATTTAATAAAAAAATTGATAAACAGTATGGGAGTTTATTTTTTAAAGATAAACCAAAAACAGAAAGTGTAGGTGCTTTGGGACGGAAAAGGAACTTAATTGGGAGAAGTGGATATAAATAGATAAATAGATGAGTGCCGAGACCACGTACCAGTAGTCGGTTCCATGAGCTGACGGCTTTTCTATCACCATCTTCTTCCCAACCAAATTTCAGGTAAATCATTTCAGCTATGGTTTCATCCTATAATCACTTCACTTAAACTTGATACTACGATCACTCCTTCACTTTTCATCCTCACTGTCATATGTCTATTTGATCCTTTGTTTCATGATCTACCTACGATTTATTTTTTCTGGTTTCGTCGATTTTTTAGGTTAAAAGTTGCTAATGAGTGGAGAAATAGAGCTAGAAGCAAGGGGTTCAGGAAACCCTAGCGATACAGATCCTCTACTTCAGAATCACCAAAATGCTGGTTCTGGTTCAGCGGCGGCCGCCTCGGGCTATAGTGAAATAACGAATGAAGATGTTGAAGCTGGATCGATAGCCACTTGTCGTATTTGTCTTGAATGCGACGGGGAGGAAGGTGAATGTTATATGTTTCATGAATTGTAAAATTCGAATTGTTCATGTAACAAGGACCAGACGGTGTTATATTTAGTAATTCATTCAGTTTTTGAGTTCTACGCTTATGATTATATTAGTATAAGATCACCAATCGTTGTCTGATATCTGTAGTTGTTACATCACAATCAGCGTAACAGTGTAAATTATACATTTAATGTAGTGATTAAGGAAAAATGAAGTAAGAAAATGCTTTTGTATGTTAAACCATGAATTTGTTTAAGGTTGTGTAGTTCATTGATGTATTTGTGATGGTTTGACAAAAGCAGTCTAGAGTTGGTTGTTGCATTTGTTTTATCTTAAGGTTGCTCAAGAGAGGGATTCACATGGGTTACTATGGCTGTTTCAAATGATTCTTGGTAGAATTGCTGATTAAGACATGTTATGCAAGAGAAAGGAAATGCAAGTTTAGTAATACTTATATCAAGTATGAACTTATTGGATGTTTTAGTGTTTTGTAGTGAATCTAGATTTGCCCTGGTCCTCTTATGTTGATGTCCCATCTCCTCAATCCCAAAAATCTACTCCACTATCAAGGTTCCCAAAAAGATACTGAATTGTAGGGGGGTTGTCTCATTCGTTTGATATGTGGAGTGTGGTGGTGACTTTTGGGGATCATTCAGGAATATATACTACTAGTTAACTCTGATTTTCGATTGCGAGCAATTTATGAACTCCTTATGTTTCTTATCCCTTTTATTCTCATTGCTCTATGCTGACTGTGAATCACAATATTTATATGCATTTTCCCTAATCTAAGTAGGTTTTATTTCAAAAAGTGGTACTGGTACCTCTCAATGTCATAATTACGTAGGTTAATAGAAACTTGACAGCACAGGGTTCAGTTTCACGAGTTTGCAATTTGCATATCCAATTTGCATGGCTTTAGAGAACGGTCTTTTATATCCCTGATGATTAACCCTTGTAAAAAGGTGTTAACTGTAGTTATTAGCCTGTAGATGAAAATGGTATTGCTGACACATAAAAACAAGACTTACTCAAGCTAAATCAGGTTGAATGTTCCAGAAAAGAAGTCCACATACCTGTTTTTCTGTGCCCATCAGGCTATGAGTGTGATGGTGTAACTATGGTTAGTGGCGGAGTGAGATACTATACTTGTGCCTTAACTAATTAATGGCTGTAGCCTGAGGAGTATTGATTTTGATATTCATGGTTTTCTTGAGATTCATATAAAGAATGCTCGGAAGGTAATAAAATACCAGATGATGATAATTGTGTTGGCAGTTTCGATTATTAGGTTGTAAATCTTCTTGATGACTGATTTAGGAGGATCTTCTTACCCAGCAAATGCTAAAGTTAAGCACTTCTGCTCTCTATATCTTTTGGAACTGCATTAGCTATTCCTTTTTCTTTTATATGCTTTTTGTTTCTCATACGACTAGCATTTGAGATGTTTGTAAAGGTGTTCAAGATAACCAGTATATGGATCTGTAATGTGTGCTTTCGCCCTGAGAATCCAACAAAGTTTATATGTTATGTCAACATCAGATTGTGTGCTGTTGGCATAGTTATTTCCAGTTGTGGAGGAGTGGTGTCAGTTCTTAAACCTTTTTTACTTTTAGTTTATGATTTTATTGGTAAGAATATCTCTCATTACGTACTTTACATCTCATTGAAATTTGTCTTTTTTTTTTTTTATCATAGATGACGATCTGATATCTCCATGCATGTGCAAAGGCACCCAGCAGTTTGTGCATCGTGGATGCCTTGACCATTGGCGATCTGTCAAGGTGAGGGCTACTGGTTGCCCTAATGTTTACTGGGAAAATTGGGTCATTCTAGTTTTAATGCATTACGTGTTACTCTCAACAGGAAGGGTTTGCCTTTTCACATTGCATGACTTGCAAAGCTCAATTTCATCTTCAAGTTGTTGAGTTAAAAGACAACTCCTGGCGCAAAATAAAATTCAGGCTATTTGTTGCCAGGGATGTTTTCCTTGTATTTCTGGCCGTACAAACGGTGAGAATTTCTCATTTCTTGTTTTCTCATGATATAGATCATCTTCTGTTGTGGTAAACAGATTTTCTTTTGAACCTACAAAGTTGGGTTGTGGGTTATTGTGGCCCCTCTATCCCCCCTTTTAGGGTGATCGCTTTTTTTTTTCTTTCAATTGCTTGGATCATGAACCAGTGGTTATTCTGGTTGATATTTCTCACCTAGTTCTGACAGTTTTTAAAGAAAAATCTGTATATTTGATGCTCCTTTAACCACCTAGTCTATCTTTCATTTTAACTCAATAATGAGCTTTTGACATGTAGGCTTAGTTCCTTCTATCTAACTGTCAGAAGGGTTACCCTGTAACCTAAGTGGCCTTGTACGCTTGGTATAGCAGGAGTGATGAAGCTTCTTTTGCTCAATATGATGTTTCTCCTTGGTTTATGGACCCAAGGGTTACCTTGTAACTGTGTTAAGAGTCGCTGCGTAATCCAAGTACCTTACACATTTTATAAAGCAGGGATACAGGAGCTTCTTGAGCTTAATATGTGTTCCTCCTCTTAGGTTGCCTTGTGGACCTACTATATTGTGGGTCTCTAATGATCTCTTTATAATTTGTATTTGCTTGATTTACTAGCTGAATACATTGAACTTGTGTCCTTTGTACATGTGGTGTGAAATAGTAATATTCACACTCGCTTTTTTGATTGCATGCTAGAATCATCTGAAAGCAGTTTTAAGTGATTACTTGCTGATAGAGATGAGGTAATAGAATTGAAACAATTTAACTAACAGAGAAATGGACGAAGGAAGGTTTGATTGAATTTGCAGAAAAGAAAAGAAAACAGCCACTAGTAATCCAGGGAAAATCCCTCTCTCTAAGCTACCAAGCTAAGAGCCAATGAAAAAAAGATAATTCTCCATACCCCCATGCACTTACTCCCCACGCCCTTTATTCTCTTCTCATTCTAACAGAAATATTAGCCACTTTCCTGATTTGCCCTTTTGGCCCTTCTGGAGTAGACTTGAAGCACTCTTGGGCTTGGGACATGTTGGGCTAAAATATTAGGATTCTCATCACTTGCAAAGCTATTTCTTCGTTCCATCAAACTCCATTGCCAAGCATATATCTAGACAAGAACTTGCTGCCACTGATTTATTTCCTTTTGATCATCTGTCTTGAAGTCTGGAATATTGTTTGCTCTTTTCATAGTGTATGCTGTATGCATGAAGATGTTGCTGATCACACTCATGTCTAGCTCTACTAAATAGTGCAGCATCTCAGCACTATGTTATTAATAGAGCTGGATTTATCTAGGGTAAAAACCGTTTTCAAGCAGCCGTGCTCCCGAATTCAGTTTGTTTTTTTTAAAACATTTGTTTTTTTATTCCAAAACAATTTTTCTCTGCTGCGAGTGTCGGTACTGCTAATTAGGTAACTGTCTTGGTTTTTGTTTTTAGCTGGTTAACAAACGACTCAGGAAATTGCTGAAATCTTATCTTCAATACTATTGTGGTCTACGTGATATAGAACATTCTTTTTTTAGAGGACATAATCATTAATCATAATGTGCATTCAGAGCTACTGCCGTCCAAATTTCTTGTTACTGCCTGAAAGTTGGAAAGCCCAATTTGAGTCTTGGTTGGATACCTTACCCTTACCCTAACCCATGTCTAACCATCACGAGATCAGCCTTCATGGTTGAAAAATTGTTGATTCATTATTTGCATAGCAGCTTAGAACATAAGAATCTAATGAGACTAGTCAAGCAAGATAATAAAAACTGATCACCACCCTCCTTTCACCTTCTCACCTGCTGCCTTATTATCATTGCTATCAATTGAAAGTTGTATCATTGCGAACAACTGCTTATAAATTGCAATCTCCTGTGATAATGATCATGAGATCCTAAGTTGACTTCACTGAAGATTTTACAGCTCTTGGACTTGTTCATTAAATCTGTTTCCAAGTTATTACTAGTTATATTTTGTAATAATTAAAGAAAAATGAGTGTGCCTCACATTTTGAGATTGCTTTGACGTCACCATGCCAATGTGTAATGTTCCATCTGTCTGCAATACTTGCAGTATGATTATCATCTGAAATTTGGTTTGTACATTGTTCTATATCCTTCTTCTATAGCCTCTTTAAGTAATCGGACAACTCTCTCATACAGGTGATTGGGCTGATGGGAGGTCTTTCATATATTGCTGATAAAGATGGCTCTTTCAGAACTTCTTTTAGTGACAGCTGGGACCGTATATTGTCGACGCATCCTATACCATTCTACTACTGTATAGGTATTTTTTCCCTTGTATGATAGAAAAGGAAAACGGGCAGTGATTATTATTCCAAAGGCTCTCACCCTCCCTACCATTTATGGTAAATGTACGATCTTGAAGAAAATAATCTGTTTAATATAGTAGAAAACCTAAAACATCACAAGACTGTATATAAGAATGCTCATATCAATATAAAAATGGTTAGTTGGTCTTTTTCAATCAATTGTTATTTATGACAATTCTTCTTATGCCTCATGACTCATGAGAGAACAATGAAATAATAGCAATGACCATGAATGTAGGCAAATTGTTGAACCACGTAAATATACTGTCTTGAGAAGAAATTGATTTGCTTATGTGCCATGTTTATGAAGTCTTCGATATAAGAAGAATCACCTTGTCGGTATATATAAAAAATGAACTCAACAAAAACAACTTGGAAGCGACTGCATTGGGATATAGTCGTGATTGTAACTGCATTGTCATGATACTTAATTAAATGTGTATGGGTACTATACTACTTTGCTTGCTAAAGCGGTTGAAATTGATTCAACAGGGGTCCTCTTCTTCTTTGTGTTGCTTGGCTTTTTTGGGCTCATACTACATTGTTCATCTCTCAATAGCGATCCTAGAATGGCTGGCTGTCAGAACTGTTGTTTCGGGTGGGGAATATTGGACTGTTTTCCTGCCTCGATGGAAGCGTGCTTTGCTCTGGTTATCGTTTTTGTCGTTATATTTGTCATTCTTGGTATCGCTTATGGCTTTCTTGCTGCTACCATGGCTATCCAAAGGATTTGGCAGAGACACTACCACATCCTCACCAAAAGAGAACTTACCCAGGTACTTGTTAATAGCCCTTGAAAATTCTGAATTTGGAATTTTAATCTTTTTCTTTTGTTGGAGTAAATTAAATAAGATAGGGAGAAAAGAGAGATTTGAGTGTATAGATGATGAGGATAACATTGCTTGTTTCTGTAGGAGTATGTGGTGGAGGATCTTCATGGGCATTACACCCCTCCTAAACTGGATCCAGAACATGCGGACCGCCTAAGGATGCTTAAGCTTTTGTAAGTCTTTCATAGAAATGAATACCAGACGCCTGAGATGATAGTAATAATAATAATAGTAGCCTTTGTTTCTTCTAGGTTAAAAACCTTCAACTGCTGCTTGTATCAAGTTCTATAAGTAACAAAGAATCGTAAAAGGAATGCACCATAAAACTCCTCTATCTTGTAATATAACATAACATACATACACACACACACACATATGATGGGTTGGGTCGTCTATCGTGGTAAGAGTTGTTTCTGTATCTTTAACATGATTACTTGACCGATGCTTAGGCCTGCTGAAATCCTCTCATTTGATTGGCTTATTGATATTTTTGACTCGTGAGCAGCTTCTTTTGTAAACATTTAATATAACAAGGTTTATGCTTTTTCGTATGACTATATAATCGTATTTTTTAAATCATGTTTAGTGTGTATTTTACGTGATCAACAAATCTGAATGATCACTGTAGGACGAGATGATTAAGAAAAGGAACAAGCAGATTCATAACGTTATTGTTGGGTAATTTGATTACTTATTGTTCGAACGTGTCAAAAACAGTTTGTTTTATTGTCAGCAAGAGCCTTGAAAGACACAACTGTGCAAGCAAAGCACACGGACTCCTCTAAATAACCATTATATTAACAGGTAAAGGAAGTTACAACTCAATCTGCTTACTTGCATTGTAGCAAAAACCAAAAAATTGAAAAAATACGGAGATTGGAGATTGTGTGTGTGTGTGCGCACGTACGTGTGTTATCTTAGATTTGCATCACCACCATCTTTCTGGTCTGATTCCTCACTTGCATCACTCACGAATACCAAATGATCACCATCCCTAACTACCTCTATTCCATCTACTTCTGCCCCCTCTTTGTTTACAACCCTAGATGCTAGAAAACCATACTTTTTTACACCTATCTCAAGCAATTCCTCAAAGCTTTTCGGCATCACCACCAGTTTACCCGCAACATCCCCTTTTTCCGGGCAACTTACTACCACCCTACCCGAGTTTTCTCTTACCCCAGCTCCAATCATACTTTTAGGCCTAGGTGACACCAAGTCTATACTGTTGTCACCCTCTCGGACATTCGACATTATCCCAAAAAGAGAATTATGGAAATTGTCACCTCTTCGTCTCGGACGTGATCGACCCCAAGACACGTCCTCTGAGTCTTGAGGAGCAGACCGAGGCATTACCGGCTCACTTTTAAACCTTCCAAGAAACTTCATGCTTAGAGAAAGACGGGGCCGCCTTTCCTCGGGGATCGTGACAAGTGGTTCTGGTTTGGTCAACAGATGGTCATCTGGGAGCTGTACGGACTGGAAGAGGGCTTTTATATCTTCGTGGCCTTGTTGGTCAGCCAAGTCTCGGGGGGACCAACCATGATTATCTTGTTGGTCAATGTTGGCTCCTTGACCTAATAGAAACTTCACCATCTCGGTGTTCCCTTCACAGACAGCAACGTGAAGGGCTGTGTATCCATCATCTCTGGCACGGGTGATATCTCCTCCATGACGGATGATTTTCTTGAGCCAATCGAAGTTGTTTTGCTCAGCGGCAAAGCAAGAGAGCTTCCCTACGTCTGCTGAGGATAGTTTGGCACCGTTTTCTGCCAACAGTCCTATCACCCTTTCATGGTTACCCGTTATAGCCTCCCACAATGGAACCATCCCTTCTGAATCTGTATAGGTCAATGTACAATAACTTGTCATCCTGGGAAACCAATGTGAATGTGAACCATGACGTTAAAATACACATATGAGTATAAATAGATCATCTAAACCTTTACGGTACTGCGGTACATATACATATCTGATTAATCAAATGAGAACCAATATAAGGTAAAGAACCACTGATCATGTGTTATAAATCAATGCATGTGAAAATGTGTTGTCTTACAATGTGATTATTGTTAATGTGTATTTTTTGCTTCACAATGTGAAACAAAATATACACAATACTTAAATCATGTATATTGTGAAACAAAAGTACATATTAAAAATAATCATATTGTATGGCAACATATCTACTTGACATGTATTGTTTCACAACACATGATTAGTGGTTCATATTTCTTTGTTTCCCTACTATATACATATTATATATATATATATATATATATATATATATGTATATATATATATATGTATGTGTATATATATATATGTATGTGTATATATATATATGTATGTGTGTATGTATGTATGTATAGGTCTAACTATAAAAAAAGGAGTACCTGCGCAATTGGGATCTGCTCCATAATCTAGCAACAAAAGCACACAGTTCTCATTTCCTTTGGAGGCAGCTATGTGCTGAGAATATAACACCAAACACATCAATTAAATCAATATGTTATATGTACAAGTAAAGATTGGGTTGCAATCAAATATATGTGAAAATATTTTGCATACCAAAGCGGTCCTCCCATTGTTGTCCGATTCATTTGGATCAAGACCTCTCTTTAACAATTTGTGCAACAACAGGTCGTCTCCTCTAAGTGCAGCAAAGCATAGGCTTAGGGGCAAGTCCATCCTACCACGAGCCAACATGTTCTCAGTCTCCACCAACACTCCTTCCATAATTGGATCATGTACGTCTTTCAGATGCTGCTCCCACAAAAAACCAACACTCAAAATCAATATCATTTGATTGTAATCTTAGTTTAAAGAGAGAGAAGAAAAAGAAGTTGAAGAACCTGGAGGAGATTGTTCATAATAACAGTCCCGTCACCAACGTTGGCTTGAACAATGTTCATGAATGAGGTACGGTTTAACCTTAATAACTGGCTTAATCTTTTGGTGCGAACTGTGAAAAGTTGAGGTTTATAACAAAGAACCCCAATTTCACCACAGAGGTCACCAGGTCTTGCTTCACCTACAACCTGCACTTGTGTAATATCATTTAGTTAGGTGGTTATTAAAATCTTTACAAATTCGGACAACATATTTACGTATCGACAGAGGACTTGCCTGTTCAACTCCATTTTTGGAAACCAGAAGTTCCTGATCATAATTATCAAAGATTTAAATGAGCGCTAGAAGATAACGGTAATTTCTCTCTGCAAAATTGGAACAAATATGAAATCCAACACTCACCACTGCTCCTGTAACAAGTATGTAGAAATCTGTCGGGGCTTCATTCTCCAAAATAACATCTTCCTTTGGAGGAAAATATTCAGCTTTCATTTCCGAAACCTTGAGAATTTTGTCATACATTATTAGATGATTTCATAGTTTTAGTTAATAATATATTGATACGTGTTTGAACATACCAGCTGAAAGAGCAAGTCCTTGGACACACCTCGAAACAAGTAGGCGTTATCTAGGAGATTATAAAAAAGGAAATGAGAAATGCTCGACCGGATGGCTTTGGGAAGGGAATCAAGAGTCTCTTGTTGTTGAAGTCCCTCTGAGTTGGTTCTATACTTGAGGCACAAATGTGCAAGCATCTGATCTTGCAACCGATTGGGCAACTGATTCCTATGTGCAAAACTTGAGGCTGCCTGAATGGAGTCCCTCTATGCTCAAAACCAATACATCAAAGTAAGTTACAACAATCAAACAAGTAATCATATATCAGCACAAGACATAGAACCACCAAGAGCTCGTTAGTCCAGCAGTATACGAGTTGTTCCCAGTAGATCCCAACCTCCTTAGAGTGAAGGGTTCAAGAGTATTATGTACTTCAAAAGAATGCTTCAAGAATGAATGTACTCACAAATTGCCTAGTTTTGCTGGTACCATGGACAACCAAGTTGGTCATATTTCCTATGAGGTATGATGTCAATCCAAGGTTGAAAAGCATGTAGCATATGACAAATATCATCTCCCTTCTATTCTGAGCATGCAAATCACCATAACCAACAGTGGTAAGAGTTGTGATCGACCAGTACATGGATGTCACGTAACGGATCCCCAAGCTCTGATCCTTGAAGTCCTCGTTATCGTACCCTATCCAAGTCCTACCCGGATTAGGATAATTAGCAGCAAGATAATAGTAGAAACACCCAGCACAGTGTACCGCAAAGAGGGTAACCTATAATGATCATATGTTAGTCCACTTACCACTAACATTCTTGATAGTAACCTCATAATTGCAAGATTTTATGTGTGTATATACATAAGTAAGACTTTCTGTCCAAAATTATATAACATTTGTAGTTCATAGTACTTACAAATATAAGCTTGGCACATCGAACCCAAAAGTAGTTGAAGTGCCTATCTTTCTCCAATCTGTTCTCATCAACCAAAGGGAATAAATTACAACATAAAACAATGAAGTAGTTCAACACTATGGCTTTAAGATTTATGGTTCCCTTCTTGGACCCTTTGTAGTATTCTGTAATTTGTGCATCAATGGAAGTAAATTAAGAACAGAAGATCTCGATGTACCTGGCAAACATGGCACTAACCCTGCGCAGACGCCATAGTCTAAACATGTTGAAGAGTCCATAGGATTGAAAGGATCGAGTGGATATCTTCCGGGCTAGTTCAGAAGGAATTGTAGAAACAATGTCAAATACCAACCAAGTTTTTGTATATCTCCAAGCAATCTTCTTTGGGTTGTCCACTAAAAGATAGGTCTTTTTATCTAGGTAAGCTACGAAGAAGGTGAGGATAATATCAACGGCAAAGAACCCATTGACAATGTTATCAATGATTGAGAGTGGTCTCTCTGGTCTTTCAAGAAAACCGAATTCAAATGGAGACACCCAAGCTGTATAGAGCACCAAAGCTACTAGAAACACCTCCCATGCCCTGAAGATTATAGTTCGGTTAATCTCGGTAAAATTGAGCAGTAGAAATTAGAAAAGATTGTCTGTTTATAGAATTTCAGTGTTCACTTAATCAATATCTGCAGTCATGGAATTGAATTTGATATATCGATGGAACCAAGATACACTTGGAAGCAAAACATGACCAATATTTTTAGTGTTCTCAGAAACGGAGTGGAAAATAAACAAGAAAATGGCTCATCAGTCCTTGCAAGGTATAATCAGCAACCAGTTGGTAAAAAAATTGAACAGAAAGGAAAAGAAGAGCATAATGATCTAGAATACTAAAAAGATTCCCACCTAGGTATGTTGATTAAAAGTTGGCTTTCTACGGCCTTAGCCTGAGGACACGTTCTACGCAAAGTCATTCTTTTCTTCCACAGAAGGTCAAAATTAGACAAAAGAAAAACAAATGCTCACTTTGTCTTCCATTAGCTATCATATTCGTGTTTTGGATTTCAAAATCCATACAATTATATTCAGTGAAAAATGATCAAAAGGTATAAACAGTTGAATCTGGTGTTGAAAACGTACAAAAAGAATAACAAATATATATAATTTTTGCAGGTACTATTTCGACATAAAGCTATCATTCTTTGAGACGGTATGTACAATGTGAATCATAAGAGATTTCCTAACAAAAATTATTCCATTCGAATTTCTCTTCGAGTATGCACCATCCAAAATCAACTCAAGATTCCTAATACCTCTTGTGAATGTACAAGGACGAAAAAGCTCGAAGTTGGCAACCGAATCTATTATTATCTCCGTCTCTTTATCATGCATTTTATAAAAGATACTCTTTAATATATTTACTTATTCTACTTTGATTTTGTATGGTAAATAATAACTTTCAGTTTTTAAACTGATAATAAATATTTAATAAGAACCGTATCAAGATATACGATAAATATAAAATAATCATTCCAATTTTGGTTAATATCATGATGATGATAAAATCAGACCGTGAACTAAAAAACATAAAAGAGGCATGGTGCCCAAGAATTAAAATACTTTATTACAATTCAGCAACCTGAATTTATTAAGATGATGTTCAACAATCAGGCAAAATAATAAAGTTTATTGGTGGATGCAGGTTTTGATGACAAAAGCAGGATAACCGTGAACAGAAGAAATTTAAAAAAGCACGGTGCTCAAGGATTAAAATATTTGTAGTATGATTTTTACAGATAGTCCGGAGTTATTGCATTTGAATCTTTACGGCCACAAAAGAATTTTTATTCCTCCTTATATTTGAACCTCCAACGCCATAAACATTTTTATTCCTCCTTAAATTTCAACCTTTTGGAAGTATGAAAATTTATTAACATGATGTTCACGAATCAGGATTCTGAAACGCTTAAAAATTAATGATAAAAAAGTTGTTCTGTGAAATCCGTCCACCAGACTGGACGAAGAACAGGAGAACATGATCTTAAAAATTTCACGACAGTAATTTAATGCGCTGTGCGTCTGTGCAAAATCGGATTGTACAATTGACAACGCATATCTTACAACAAATAGCAGCATGACTGTTCATTGGCATCACCGCCTCAGAACTTAATTTTTGCTGTCAATGGCGGTTTCACCAGAATCCAAAGTTACGAAGCTTCTACACAGAAATTACGAGCTATTTCTACTAGTTCAAATTAATTCAACAAAAACGAAATTCTAGTTTCAGAATAAACAATAACATCAAAAATATACACATACGATTGTGCGATACTGTATGCACAACACACACCAAAAACAGCAGTATTCAGCATATACAATTATACATAAACAAACATATATACATACCTGTAGCGGCGATCGTGAGGGGAGATGATGGACCTCCGAAGCTTGACACGACGGTTACTGCGGGCACCAAGAGATGGTAAAATTCCGGTGGTTAGACTGTAGTGGCTGCCGTCTCTGGACATCTGTTCGAGTTCTTGAGCATCGCCACACATTGAAACCCTAAAACCTCCATTCTTCTTCTTAAGTATACTACTATCGGTACCAAAAATTTCCGCCATTTATATATAACTTCGAAATGCTCTCCTACTTCTTCTGCAGCTCCCTCGGCTGGGGGTATATATATATGTACAAAGATACTATTTCATATTGGGTTCCATCACGAGACTCTTCTAAGAAAGTCGTCTTACGGAGTAACTCCCAAATTTAATTTTATGATTATTTTTTACAACAATGGCCCCTTGACTATTTCATAATTTGTTATTTTAGTCTTCTAATTTGTAATTTTCAATTTTAGTATATAAATTGGTCATTTGTTACACTTCTTAGGTAACGTTTGTCAAGTCTCTTACCTTATTGAATGAATATGGCAAGAACCAAAACTTTTACCCTGTAAGAGCGAAGGAAATGACCACAAGTTTTATCCGGTAAGTGAAAGCAACGACTTTTACCACGGTTAACGCTTACCAGGTAAATTGTTGCATATGAAACCGTTTTAAAGAACTAAAATTTTACCCGATAAGTAAGTGATAGTATTGAATTTTACAGGTAAGCACTTAATGGAGTAAACAACCTCTTAGAATCTTATGATCTCGTTGTCTCTTGAAACTATAATGATTGAATAAAACAAAATAAGAAATAAGGTTTGGCATAAACTCATAATTATCAATATTGAACGACGATTAATAATCTTCGGGTGAATGCAATGTCCTTGTGGGTATAGATTTTCGATAACCAGTGTGTGTTACAGTTGCTTCTTAATATCATTGTATATTAACCTATTTGTAACTTATGTATATTCTAATTATCCCATAACACATTTTCTTTAGGGTCTGTTTGGCTAATGCTGATTAATGAAAATGAGAATGAATTTTCATTCCCCTCCCAGTTTAATCAGGAACAAAATTTTGGGCTTCTGGAGGAATGAGCCAATTATATTATAGAAAACCAAACACTTTCTTTTATTTTCATTCTCATTGATTACTGTCTAATACCTCTAACCAAACACCCCTTTAGCCATGAATCTTCTATACGGTTTTGTAACATGTGGTTCTTTAAGGTTTGAGAACCACCGATAACAAAAGTCACCGTTAAGAGGAGATGAATAATGACGAAATAATAACTCAGTATTTAGTTTGTTTATTTCAACTCATTAACTACGGGAATGATTGTTTTCCATTTCAATCAAAACGATTTATTAGTAAACATTAAAATATTATCTGGAAGTGGATGTTTATGAAATTCAATAAAGAATATAAAATCACCAAATTTAGCATATCAAATTAAGGGGAAAAAACAAAAAGAAAGAAAAAATTAGCATTTGAGGACTGAAACTTAAAATTAAAAAACACAAAGGACCGATTCTGACTTTTTTCAAACTATGTTTTGACCCAACTTTATCTTGAAATTAATTGAGTAATTTACGTTTCAAAAACCCCTCCATATCCTTATAATTTGATATAATCTTGAATTTCTATTTATTAAAGTATCTTAAAATATTTTCTAATACTTTTTTTATCAAAATAAATATCGTATTTGATTTGAATTTTAACTTTGAGATAATAATAAATCTTTCATTATATAAACTCATTTAAGTCATAATCAAACATATCTCGTTAATAATTATGAACCATAAAACGTTTTTAAGTGAACTAAGAATGGGAAGTGAATAAATGACTCCATTATTAATAACTAGAAAGGTACTCGTGCAATGCAGCGAAATACATCTTGATTTTAATATTTTATTTTATTATTTATGTCAGTTGATATTATAATATGATCTTATGTGATTTTGCAAAAACGATAATGTTTTTATTATTGAATAAAAATATAAACTTGAAGATATCATAAAAATTTGACAAAAATATATCGATATTAATATCAAATTAACTATTTAAAATTCTTATTTTTTGTGTAATTTTTTAATTTAATTTTTTTATTATAATTTAATTTAGGTTTAATAATGAAGTAATTTATATTTGGTTTAATAATATAATTTTCTTATAAAGATAATAATTAATTATTTTGTTAAGACTCGATAATTATCTTAATTATATTTTATATTTTTTATATTTTAAAATGAGATGTTTATCTTCCATTTAATTATGTTTATTCGCAGTTAGTTACACAAATTCAAACATGGAGCTTTAATAAGTTGTATTTATGCATAATTTAATTGTAATTTTGAATCTTAAGTAATATGCATCAATATATAGTATTTTATGCATAAAAAATTGTTTTTAAGAGTTTCTATCAAATGTTTTATAATATAGTATAGATAAAATTATCATTTATTTAATTTTAAAAATAATTACATATACTTTTACTATAAATATTTATTTTAGGGGCGCTAAAAAAGTCCGAGTAAATATGATTTTGTTTTTAAAGAATTTTTTTTACATAAATTTAGAAAAAAATATTTTATATATTTTAAATGTAATTTTCATCTTATAAGGATTATATATTGTTGCAAAAATTAATCAAGATTCACAAAATTTGTTTCTGTTCTATGCACATTAAAATTATTTTAAAATGTTAATTCTTGATTAAATGCAGGGGCGGATCCAGTTTACTAGATATGGTGGCACAAGTTGTCGTTACATTCTTCAGCCGTAAGCAAGCGTATTATAATATTAGGTGTCATTATATATATTTTGAAACTATAATAATAACACAGGTTTGTCTTGGCAGAGTTGGTTTGGACGACTTTTTCCGATTCCATGGACGGTTTGAATGTTGTTTCAATCATTTTATTGGTTTTTAGTTGTTAATTTCAAGTTTAATATGTTTCTGAAAAAATTACGATAAAAGACTCAAATACAAAACTCCATATATTAAAACTAAAGAACTAATTAACAGGTCGATTATGTTTTTGAAAAATCATACATAATTTCGTTTTTTTATAATCAAATGATGTCATCGATCAAAAATTCCTAGGTTTCCCTCTGATTACAAGTTTTATTAAAAGGAAAATTGCATCAAAATAGAACCAATTTCCACCTGATTCTTATTTTGGAGAATCAACTTTCAAAATTGTCATTTAGGGGTCTCTATCAAACTTTTTGTTTATTTAAGGATCTGGTTGACCTGTTGACCTATTAATGCTGACCTTAATAGGTCTATTTTAAAACTAATATCTTTTGACAACTAAGATATTCCACATCATATTAATTTTTTATTTTAAAACTAATATTCTACGTCATATTTAAAATTGCAAAATAATTATAAAAAAATAAAAAAATTCGTTTTTTTTTTCCAAAAATTATTGTAATAAAATATATTTTTCATTCCAAATCTCGTTTTTTTTTAAATTCAGTTATCAAATTGAAGATTTTTTCAAAAATGGACTTCTTTACTCACAATTTGATATCTGGATTTTTTAAATGACAATTTTGAAAGTTGGTTCCCCAAAATAAAAATCAGGTGAAAGTTGGTTCCATTTTGGTGCAATTTTCCTTTTATTAAACTCAATCATTAAGTTTTCTATAGAATGAAATATGAAATCATTTGTTAGAAATAATAGGTTGAGTTCTAGTGAGAATGAAAGTTATGCTAAGAAGGGTAAGAAGAGAGATTTCCATCCTTGGACCAAGCCTAATTGAAGATCAACAGTAATGAGATGTACCGAATCAATTCTCATATCAAACACAATTCATGAGATGGGTGAGATTAAAAGTGATCAAAGATCCAGATCTCTTCTTACGTTTCTCACCTTAACTCATGTTTTCACACGATCCTACATCGAGGAAATTTTTTATCTATATATATATATATATATATGGTTGGGTCCGGTGAGAAAGATAGTTAAAATGAGAAGCGTAAGAAAAGATCTTCACCCTTGAATGCACATTAGGATAAGATGGAGCGAGATGCACCGGATCAGTCCATGTATCAATCGCAATTCATGGGTGGGTTTTGAGATTAAAGGTGATTAATGGTTCAGATCTCTTCTTACTCTTCTCTTCTTAACTCTTTTTCTCACACAATTTTTCGCTTTTTCTTTAATTATTAGTAATATATATATATATATATATATATATATATATATATATACACACACACATAGGCGTGAGTTCATTTGAAAACTCATTTTTTTTCTGAACATGATGATTAATCTCGGCCATTGATTGAAATTTAGATAACTAATCAATGGTTAAAACATAAAAAGGTTAATTTTTTTTATTAACCTGGATATTCAATCCGCTATTGGAGCCGACTAATCTCAGGGCGACCACCTGCTTTGCAGATAGCCCGTAGTCACCGCATTTGAACCTTCGTGGCCACAAGGAGATTTTTATTCCTTCTTGGATTTGAACCTGTGACCTCCTGGTATCTTTGACCTTTGGAGTCAAGCTCAAACCAATCAGGCACCACTCTTGTGGTTACATAAAAAGGTTAATTAAGAAGTGATCATGGACAAAAAATGGAAGTTACGTTTACGCATACCATATTTGACTTTTTATTTTCTTTTTTAGTTAAACAGGTTGATTTCACATTAATCCAACATATATATATATATATATATATATATATAGAGAGAGAGAGAGAGAGAGAGAGAGAGAGAGAGAGAGAGAGATGAAAGTTCATATACAAACTCTTTTCCTAAACACAAGGACCAACCTCGGCCTTCTATCTTATTTGATCCAACAACTCAATTAAATGGAGTTTTCAATTAAAATTATTAACTAGGGTGATTAGGAGTAAAAAAGGTAAGTTAATTTCAACCAACGCCTATCTTATTTTGCTTTTTATTTTATTTTCTAATTAAAAACTTTTATCCCCTTAAACTTTAAAATAAATTATCTTAAAAAAATCTAATATTTTTAATCAAAGAAACTAGATAAAAAAACGAGAATTTCATACTTTTCGATATGGTATTAATTTTGATATAGTTTTTTTTATCGTTTTAACCGTTTTTACGTGAAATGGTATATATATATATGTGTGTGTGTGTTATATTCATTATAATATATATATATATATGTGTGTGTGTGTGCTGTGTGTGTTATATTCCTTATAATATTTATTTTACGTTCAAGTGCATATAACAGCTCGACACCATGAATTTATAACTCGACATCATATTCTTCAACACTTTCTTCAATGTCGTAAGACACCGCGTTCTTTATCACCTTAAACTAACACCCATCGAGACCGATCG